CCGGCCTGCCCTCCCCGGCGCCGCAGCGGGGATCCCGGCGGCGAGCCGAGCCGCCGTCCTTCGCTCTGCTGGGTGATGTCTGCGAAGTCATCAGCTGCCGATTAAAGACCTTCACTGACAGAGAATTCACCACGTCCTCACTGAAATTTTTCTCACTGCTGAGTCCAACCGCTGCCCCCCCCACCTGCCCTGTAAATTACTTTTTCTTTAGTCCTCTAGCTGTATATTTAGGAAAAAAAAAAAAAAAGGGGATAAATTCTAAAATAATCTCAATCCTACCTCGGCTGTTAGTTTCTTGTGGAAGCTGAAAACCTGTTGCCCCCGGTTTGATCATTCGGCACAGGCAGGGCTCCCAGATTAAGCTAATTTTTCCTCGCTCTGCACCCCTGGGAGAGGGATGAGGGCACCCTTGGGAGCTCCTGGTGCTGCTCCTCAGGGGGAGTGTGTCTCACTGGGGCTGGCACCAGGAGCTAAATCCAGTGCCAGGCTCTGTTCAGCGTACTGAAATACACAGGGTTTTGGGGATGTATCTCTTCAAAAATTAAAGAAACCTATAGAAAGGAGACTCATGGAAAACACCATCATTTTTAACCATTTTCCTTCTTCAGCAAGCGGGTCTTGCTATGCGCAGAAGATGACAGCACCTTTCTGCTATGTTTTTGCTGTGTAGATAATTACCCATCACCTTTGGACAGAGCAGATTTTTCCAGTGGCTCGTTCTCCTGGGTTCTTAGTGAGCCCTTCCCGTTTGTTACACCTTTTCATCATTCACCGTGATTCCAGAGTAGTCACGTTACTGTGCCATGTCATGGTCGTAGCCACGTAGTAGCACATGCTTCAGTATTTTTGCTTAAACCTCTAACGTTTGCATTTGCTGTTACAGCTGCCACATTGCACTGGCAGCTCGCATTCATGCATTTATCCCTCGTGATCTCCTCAGCCCTCATCTGATTTAATGCTTTGGAAGGTCTTATCCTTCCTTACCACCAGCCCAAAAGCATGCTTTTAAATTTTTTTTTCCTATGCACAACCAGCAGCCTCATCTTTGATCCGTTGGCCATGGAGGTGGATTAAAACACATGTTGTTCAAGGGGCACTTGCTGACTTTGTGGTTTAAATCAGTCAGTGGCCACCAGGGCCACATCAGCCTTCGACTGTTTTGAAGTGACCTGCAGATTTCACGAGCTGTGCTTCATTTAATTCCAAATAATTGGCTGAACTAACAGAGCAGCCCTGGGTCAAGATCAGGCTCCTCTGGAGCCCAGTTAAAAAGTCTCTTATCTGACATTTTTCATTTGAATTACTTTCTAATGTCTCTTAAAGCGCAGCCTTTAGTCCGTTTAATAGATACTATAGCGATACAGAACAGTTCTGAACGTGACTTTGTTGTGTAGGCAACACCTACAGCCTACTTTGGATTGAAGATAAGTGCTTGCATCAGACCAAACAGTCTACAGGTTCCTAAAGGCTATTGTGGAGAGGATTAAGATAACAATAAACCTGATAAATACGTTTCTTCTCACAGGAAGAAAAAGATCAGTTACTGATTACAGTAGTTAAGTATTGCAAAGGGCGGTGGAAAAATCTATCAGCAAAAGTCTCCAAGAATAGGAGATACCTGTGAGGAGTGCGGTAAATACAGTTGACCCTGCCTTGAACATTGAACTAGGTGTCTTCTCAAGGAACCTGACGGCTCTTTTCTTCTATAATTAATGTTATCACCAGGTCCCGCCGAGTGAACAGAGTTGGGCCATGCAGCGTGTGACATTTGTCCCCCTGGATGAAAGGCCAGGCAGAAAACTGGACGGGAGTGGGGGGGGAATTGGGAAGCTGTGCTGGGGGCTGGCCATGTGGTAGGGCGTGCGTTTCGTGCGTGCGTTTCATGCACATGACCAAAGGGAAGATGAATCATACAGGGGGGAAGTTTTAAGGTATATTTAGCTGATTTTCATTTTATATACAGTTCTGAAACTGCTTAAGCCTGTGACTAGGCTAGAATATGACCTTTAGAGAGCGACTGTCATTACCTGCTTTGCTGCCTCCACTGCCTCTGTTGCAAACCTCAGCAGAAACAGGGGGGGTACCTGGAAGCTGTAACATCTTAGCTTTGAATACCACCTTAGAGCACTACGTGCAAATTTGGTACCCTAACAACGTTTACAACTATTAAATACATATTTTGATAATTTGTGTTCTTACTGTTAAACATTCCTCTCTCCCCACACTAGATAATTTGCATGCTAAATAAAGGCAATAGAGGCTTTTTTTTTTAATATGCAGATTTGCCGATCTGTGCATATGAAAGAAGATATATACGGCTTCTTCACTACTGCAAATGAGACTCGTTATATGGTATTGAAAAAAATCCCAAATTGCTTCTCTACTGCTGTCTGAAAACATGCTGCCATCTGAAGGTAAGTTATTAAACTCATTTAAAAAAAAAAGATGACCAAACATGGTGCTTTCCCTTTGAGGTGACAAAGTGCACAAAGCAGGAAGTGCATAAAGGACATCGGGATACATGATTCTGTAAATAAGACAGATGAGGAAGGACCCATCTGTGTTATTGATGTCATGCGAGATCCCTATAGAAAAGCAGCAATGTAGCTCATTTGGAGATAACTACAGATGTTGCCTAATACCTCCTCTGATACAAACCCTAGAGAGAAAACCTTGTGTAAGTAATCAGCATATCAAAGCTTTATGTCTTCTTATTCTAGACAAGCTGAATGCTATTTCATCTGCATTACCACAAACAATCAGAGCTAATCAGAGGTATTAGAAGAATACATATCTGTAAGGTAAATTAATTAGCGGGAAGAGGAGCAGGACTCTGCTGTGAAGACACGTCTGAATGCAGCAGCCCCTCACTCACTCTTCCTTGTAATTGGAGCATGTAAACATCCAAAGTGTAGTGTGAGCTATAAAAAATGCATCCTTAAAGTGAAGCTGAACTCTTACCTAACCTGAGAAGATTGGGTAACCAATCTCTTACAGAGATGGTTTTTAGTGATGTCTGAGGCACAAACTAGTATTACATCTACTTTTGTCTAAATTTCTTGTTTTGTTTTCATTAGTAACTGCATTACCATTTCTCTAAAATTAAGAATTTTGTCCTCTGGTTAGCTAGAATGAAATTTGTTTCCATTCAGAATTTGACTATTGCTTAAAGTATGTCCAGAGGAAAAGCGCTCTACTTTTATGAAGGCACAGTTTGTAACGGCACCGTTGCAGATGCTGCCTTTGGACATCTTGGGGGTTGGGAAGAGTGCTTTTTGCAAGCTCCAACATGTGGTTTTGGGGGCTGATGTTAAGTACTAGGTGAAATATAAGTCCCTTCTAGTGGTAGTTAGTACCCTTCTAGCAAGGAGCAGACAGTGGCAAAGCAACTTACAACTGCAGGAGTGAATTTGTTTGTGTCAGGAAGCCACTAAGGTAAGGGAAATTACTTAATAATAACTGATGAGGAGTAGTAATGTAGCTGAAAGGAGAAGAAACCGATGGTATGATAGCATAAAGGCTTGTTCCAGACATAGGGGCAAGGTTGCAGCACAGCAGCTACCCAGAAGAGACCAGTTAAGATGAAATGCGTGGGAGAAGCAGAAGTAGGATTTACTATAAGCAATGTCTCGTCCTCTAGAATTACTATGTTATCGTTTACTATCCTGCAAATCCTTGTCATATCTGAGGCAAAACCAACATACAACAGCAAAAGCTAACAAGATATAACAAAGATGGAGAAGCTAGAAATATTAAAAGCAACTCAGTTTTCACATTAAGGTTTTACTTTTTAATCATTATCTGTCCTCTGCCTTCAATT